CAGTAAAAGTTAACTATTATTATTATTTTTCAATCATGTTTTCATGTTAAGGGAAGCGCTAAATTAGATTTAGTGCCCTGAATGGAGTGGGCACCTCCAGCTGACAGGGAGCGTTCCTGGCCGAGGACAGCAGGCCAAAAGATGCCAGACCCTCCTGGTGCCCAAGACTTGTCCCCGGGGACGTGGAACCACTGACCCCTGGGGGTCAGGGGCGGCCTGGGGAGGAGGTGCCACTGGCCAGCCGAGGTCCTCGCTGGGGCCCGTGGGGGCCTGTCCCAGCCTCGCCTGACCTTCGCTGGGCCTGGGGTCAGAGAGAAGAAGCCGTGATGAGGAGGGGTCTGGGCTGACACAGGTCTTTATCTCGGTGATCCCAGGGCGGAACGGGGACCCGAGAGGGGGGGGGGCTCTGGGTAAACGCGGGGCGGGCAGTCGGGGCGGATGGGTGGGGATGCAGGGAGACCACCTCACAGTCTTCTGCGCCCTCTGGTACCACCTCCTCGTGGGGTGGCTGAGATTCGCAGTGGCTTTGGTAGGCCTGAAGTCCAGCCCGGGGCTCCCCACAAGCCGCTGGTGTCTGGCCTGGTGAGTGGCCAAGGAGCCCCACAGCCCCGGGGACGCCGGCCTTTCCTGTGGCATGGCCTCCCAAGGCCTCGGAAACCTCACTGAGCGGGAAGGGTCGCATGGGGAGCCTGCAGCCAGCCCGGGGGAGGCACGGGGGCTCCAGGCCCAAGTCTGATGGTCACCAGGGACCTGACCTTTCCCACACCTGGAGGCCATGGGGGCCCAGGAAGGAAGCCTCCCAGCCGAGCCCAGCCTGTACATCCTGTGGACCCAGGAGGGACACGAGCCCCAGGCAGGCGCCCCGTGCCTCCACCTCGCCGCCATCTAGGTCCCCAAATGGAGACATGTCCAGGGTATGTGTGAGTTGTCACCTCCCCCCACCCCCAGAGCAGAGGGCATGCATGTCCCCCAGGCCCCTGCCCCTCTTCTGCCCTCCCGGCACCTTCTATAAACCGAGGCCCTCCGCGCTGGCTGGGTGTTCTGTCGTGGTCACAGGCAGGACAGACAGGCGGACAGAGGGGTCACAATCCCACCTGCTCCGCCTGTGCCTGGGGCCTCGCCCAGGTGTGCCCACTCGGTGCCTGGGGCTCAGCTGCCGGGAAATGCAGACGCCACGGGGCCAAGCTCAAGGGCGGCTGCCGGACTGGAGGAGCCCACCCCCAAGATGCCGACCCCCAGGCAGGGGTCTTTATCCTCCTTACTGGTGTCCCCAGGGAGAAGCAGGGAGCCCGAGACGCCGTGGGTGCTCAGTAAACGTGAAGACAAAACGGTGCGTGAGCTGCATCTAATGACAAAAACCTCAGCCCAGGAACTAGCGAGGACGAGGCTGGGGCTGGAGAACGCGTTTATTCAAAGGGATCGAAGGACCCGCTGGACCCAAAGTCTCAGCTGTCGC